CACTACAGGTCTTACATCTGGATCTGAGATTGGATCAACAAGGTCAAAAATGTCCTTACAGTTCCTTGGTTCTGGGCTGGACAGAAATCTTGGTCCACTTATCCAGTTTGTGTCCTTAAGGTGACTTGCAGCAACAGAACGCGTAGTGTGATCTGCCACTGGTTTGGAAGAGAGGATTTTCGAATGCGTAGCACCCGGTTGTTGACAAAGACATAAAAATGTCTGCTCTCATTGTGGATGTAGCCCAAGACCACTTTGCTGTCTGAATAGTAGTGCCAGGCATTGAGCTGGAGATCCAGTTCTGCTGAGAGTAGGTATGCTAGCTCTACAGCAAGAACTGCAGCACAAAGTTCTAATCTTGGCATGGTCATGTCAAGAAGAGGGGCAAGCTTGGCTTTGCCTATTACAAATCCAACATAGCATTTGCTGAATGTATCAATGACTCTCAGATATGCAACTGCAGCAATAGCCTTTGTTGATGCATCACAGAAGATATGCAGTTCTCTTCTGGAAGCAGCTGAAGGGGATGTTTCTGTATACAATCTGGGAACAGAAAAGCCAGACAGTCCGGATAAGGAGGCTCTCCATGACACCCAAATCTTCTCCATATTTTCTGGTAAAGGTGCATCCCAATCTCCTTTTTCAGTTGTGAGCTCTCACAGGATAGCCTTTCCTTGGATGGTCACAGGTGCTACAAACCCAAAAGGGTCATAAAGGCTGTTGATGGTGGATAAAACACCCCTCCGGGTGTAGGGTTTAACCTCTTTAGACACACTGAACACGAAGTGTGTGTTTGGAGGTTCCAGTCGATGTGTTATCATCAAGGTCGAGATCTTTGAGGCTGTTTGCATGATCAGTGGGAACGCTTCCATGACTTCCTTTCTGTTTGAGGCAATCTTATGTAGCCTAAGATTTGATTTAGAGAGAACATCTCAAGTCCTTTTCAACAACTTTACCGCTGCTTCAACTGTAGGCAGGGATTTAAGACCATCATCTACGTAGAAATCACGTGTGACAAAGTTCTTGAAATCTGCGTCAACTTTGAACTTTTGGTCTTGTACAGACTGATGGAGGCCATGAATAGCCACTGCTGGTGAGGGTCTATTTCCAAAGACATGGACATTCATACGGTAGTCTATAATGTTCTTACTGGGATCATTGTCCTGAAACCACAGGAAACATAAGAAGTTTCTGTCTTCTTCCCTCACATAAAAGCAATAGAACATTTGTTCTATATCTGCTGTGAAAGCCACTGCTTCTTTTCGAAAGCGCAGTATTTCATCCAAAAGTGAGTTGTTTAGGTCCGGCCCGGTTAGCAGCACATCGTTGAGTGTAACACCTTCATACTGAGCACTAGAGTCAAATACAACTCGAATTTGGTTGGGCTTCTATGGATGGTACACACCAAATATGGCCAAGTACCACTGCTCTTCATCTGCTGTCACTGGAGGAGCTATTTCTGCATGGCCCTTTACAAACATCTTCTCCATGAAGCTTAGGAAATGTTCTTGCATTTCTGGCTTCCTTCTGAAGCTTTGTTTGAGTGAGATGAGGCGTTTTAATGCTTGGGGCTTGTTATTGGGAAGCCTCTGACGTGGGTGCTTAAAGGGTAACGGTGCAACCCAGCTGTTGTTTGCATCTTTGTGTAGACCCTCATTCATTGTTTTCATAAAAAGGGCATCCTGAATTGAAGGAGCCAACTGGTTGTCCTCTTTAGTCTGCCTAAACACATCACATCCAAGATGATCAGCACAACACTCTGGGTCCATCTCGGAAAAGAGTGAAGGATGGGTTGGGATGTACTCACTGCTGTATTTCTCTTTGATGCAGAACACATTGGGGCAAGGTTCAAAGAGGGTAGGGCGTGTCGTTTCTGTGGTTTTGGTGTAAAAGGTGTTGATTGTTTGAGGCATGTGATTGCTGCCTAAGCATATATTCCCAATGATAACCCACCCAAGGTCAAGTTTCTGAGCATATGGCAGATCATGTGGGCCATTCAGCTGTTTACGTACCTTATGAACTCTGATAAGGTCTCGACAAAGCAGCAGCATAATCTGGGCTTGTGGGTCAATATTGGGGATCAGATGAGCCAATGATTTCAAGTGCTGATGGTGACGGGCCACCTCTGGGGTTGGGATTTCGTCTCTGTTGTTAGGAATGTCATTACATTCTATAAGACTTGGCAATAGGATCCGGACATTTCCATCTAAAGATTCTATTTCATATCCACTAGCTCTTCTTCCAGCTGCTTCCCTAACTCCAGCACATGTTCTCAGTGTATAGGGAGCACTTGAACACATCAAAAAACTGAGATCGCACAAGTGACCTGTTGCTCTGTTCATCCAGAATCGCATAAAGTTTCACAGCCTTGTCTCTGCAGCCAGCTGGATACACTTTTACAAGGCATATTTTTGAGCAGGATCGATATGTCTGTTCTCCACCACAGATTTCTGTACACTTCGAATTTACTTGAGGCTAACTTGTGGTTATTTCATCCTCCCCGCTATGCTGTGGTTGGGGGTCAACATCACTTCTGGGATCTGGATGAACTGCTGTGTGATGCTCCTCGCTTTTGCACTCTGCACAGAGCAGTTTGACTCTGCAATTCCTTGCAATATGTGTGGATGACAAACAACACCTAAAACAAATGTTGTTCTCCCTTAGCAGTGCCATACGGTCGTTAAGGGATTTCTCCTTAAATGCACGACATTTATAAAGAGGGTGAGGTTTTCTGTGTATGGGGCACATTTTGTCACATTCATTAGGTTTTAATGTTGTGTCAGCATCTCTGTAACCTTGAGGAGAGATTTCAGTCTTGTGAACATAGACCTCCTTAAACTTGTTTGATTTTGGAGGTGCTCTATTTATCTGAGCTCTGTCTGTGTGAGAAACAAAGTTGAAACTTGGATCACTGGCAATCCTTGCTTCCTGACACACAAAGTCCACGAAGTAAGAGAAGGGAGGATATTGAACACATTTTTGTTGTTTGTAGGATGCTCCAACCGTCGCCCATCTCTCCTGTAGACGATAAGGTAGCTTTAGCACTATTGGGTTCACGCCCCTGGCTGTGTCGAGGAAAGACAGTCCAGGTAAATCTCCCTTAGATTTAGCTGACAGGAGCTCCATTAAAAGATCACCTAACTTTGTCAACTTGGAGTAATCTCTGTTAGTTATTTTTGGGAAGTCTTCAATGTGTTTGAACAGAGCATCTTCAATAGCTTCTGCTGATCCATACTTTTCACCAAGTCTCTTCCATATCATATTTAGCCCTGCTTGTGGATGGTTTATATGTATTGCTCTAATCTGTTCCACATGCTGTACTGATTCTCTTCCAAGCCACTTCAACAGGAGCTCCATTTCTTCGCTTGGTGACAGGTCCAAAGCCAATGTTGCTGACTTAAAAGAGCGTTTCCAGGCTCTGTAGTTCTGTGGTTTGTCATTGAATTGCAACAAACCTGTTGCCACAAGCTCACGACGAGCTAAATATCGAACAAAGTCATTCATGTTTGAGCTGCTGTTATTTGTATATGCAGGATGTGGATAAAAAGGATTAATGTTTGGAGGTCTGTAATATTGGGTATTAAGACCACTATCATGCCCCAACATAACATCTCAAGGTCCCTCACTTTTACTGACTGACGGGTTCCGTGGAGCAACCTGCGGACATTGAAATGCAGTTGGAAGAAAGGATGTTGCATCTGCCTTAAGCTGGGAAGATGAGATATTGAAGTCAGGCTTTGACTCTGCGGCTGGATCACTACCAGCACATGACTGTCTGTGAGTCTCCTGAATCTGATTTTGGTTGAGAACATATTGCTCAGTATGTGCTGGGGTGTCCAATGGAGCAAAATCCATGCTTAATTTGGAGCTCTGTTTGTCAGAATTCAAATCAACAGCAGCTTCAAGCGCTTCTGCCTCAGCAATAGCTGCAGCTGTCTCTTTCTCATAATTAAGTTTTGTTATAGATGCCTCTAATTTAGCTTTCTCTAGCTTCAGAGCCACCTCCTTTTCAACAAAGACGAGGCGTGCCTTTGCGGCTTCAGCTTTTGCTCTGGCCTTTGCTGCAGCCGACCCAGTAGATGAGGCTGACGATTGTACTGAAGAGCATGAGGCATGTGAGCGTGTCTTCAAAGACGATGTCCCCTCTGCCATTTATACTGATTGTATGTTGAAATGTTGATGTACAAGGAACATTTTTGTTTTTGACTCCAAATCTGGGTTCCAGAATAGAAGAATTTATGGTCTTGCAGCCAGAAATCAATCTCTTATGATTATCTGACATTTTTCTGAAATTCAGAATGATGGATGTCACACTGTTACAGCTGATACGACCTACCTCTACTGATCAGCCAATATCTGACATTTTTCTGAAATTCAGAATGATGGATGTCACACTGTTACAGCTGATACGACCTACCTCTACTGATCAGCCAATAGCAGGTGCAGGTGCTGCTGGAGATGGTTCATGAAAGATCCAATAGAGAAAATTAATGCTTTATCTGTTTACGAATTTTGTATGATGTAAAGGAAATAATAACAATAAACAAATAGCACAATACATGTACCGAGAGGTTTATTTATGTAAAATGTAAGAAAGGGAATATTTAAAATCACTTATTCAGAAGAGATGAACAAGTCCCTGGCCAGAAACAGCCTAATTTCAATGTAGGCATCAGAGCTGAAGCACATGAAACGTAATGTCAAAGTGAAAGCATAACAAATGTAGGCTGCACCTACTGCTTGATTCATGTTCTTTATGATGCTTGGGATTGAGATCCCTATTGATAAGTCTGATTGAAAGAATGCCTAAACTCGTCCATCCCTTTCCTAATTTTTTCTGCATTCTCGGTTGTAAATTGATCTCCAGGGGTTTTAGAAAACTAAGCCTTTATGTCAACTGCTCTTCTGCTGCAACCTTGACATATGGTGGCAGGGGAGCTCAAACTCTTAACAAATTACTTACTGAATATTTCTAGCGGCTTGTGTTTATGTTGTTACAGGGTCCGCCTACAGCTCTACAAGACGGAGAAGATGGGCTGGGGAGTGAGGGCACTGCAAGATATCCCTCAAGGAAAATTCATTTGCGAGTGAGAATTTGCTGAAAAATCTAGACTGTATTCTTCTAATCCTCATATTACTGTTAAGCCGGACACTAAGCATTTTTTCTTCTTAATTCAGGTACATTGGGGAGATCATCAGTAACACTGAGGCTGACAAAAGAGAGAATGACTCTTTCCTTTTCACTTTGGACAATAAGGTAATTAATATTATACATGTTTATAGTTATACGAAAAACTAGAGAATTTTGGTAGGTTCTACACCATTCAGTACATCCAAAATCTCCACTACTTGAAACGTAGCTAATCATTTGTTGTGGAAAATACCTTTTTTTTTGAAAGAGCATAATTCTTTACCCCCCCCCCCCCAGAACATAGGTATTTGTCTAATAACCCATAGTCGCCTCCCAGTCCTGTTATTCTATAAAAAACATAGAAGACAGAAGGCTGCTCATTGTACTTTATCTCTTGAACAATGTACAATGTATAACAGGATCATGATGCTTGGAAAGAGATTTTAAAGATACTCTCTGTGTTTACACCTTAAAGCTTTCTCTCTCTGGTTCTTTATCATTAAGATATCACTTGTGACACTCTCTTCAAATAACACTTCATAACTTAAATGTTTTAAATAACCATGAGACATCACAACAGATTTTGGTAATCTTTCTTAGATCACAGAAGTTACTGAGACTTACAGAAGGCAGCTGCTTACCCCCAGGTTCATTTCTTAGGAAGTGGCCCTGATAAACAGTTGAAGAGGCATTTTATACATCTTCAGTATGCCACATCATCACATTTTACATCATACACATTAGCAGATGAGTAGACATCCATGGCTCCAGCCTTATCCAAATATTACACTTTGTTCTTAGCTGACATCTTTGAACCAAAGGGTCTTGGGGCTACCTACCTCTACTGATCAGCCAATAGCAGGTGCAGGTGCTGCTGGAGATGGTTCATGAAAGATCCAATAGAGAAAATTAATGCTTTATCTCTTTGCGAATTTTGTACGATGTAAAGGAAATAATAACAATTAACAAATAGCACAATACATGTACCGAGAGGTTTATTTATGTAAAATGTAAGAAAGGGAATATTTAAAATCACTTATTCAGAAGAGATGAACAAGTCCCTGGTCAGAAACAGCCTAATTTCAATGTAGGCATCAGAGCTGAAGCACATGAAACGTAATGTCAAAGTGAAAGCATAACAAATGTAGGCTGCACCTACTGCTTGATTCATGTTCTTTATGATGCTTGGGATCATAAACCTCCTCATTCCATTCCCAAATAATTGCCACATACATAATGATAAAGATTATAACTGTATATCCGAAAAGAGGAACTATATAAACTATTGTCGAAAACATGAGTTCAAACATGCAACAGGCAGCTAATATTAAGTGGTAATAAAATCACAAATCATCAATGATAATTATCCTAACAATTCTCCCTGAAAATGTGACGTTTTTAATGTCGCCTTTAAAAAAAACACTGTCTGTTCATGACCAGGATATTAAAATAGAAGAAAACTGTAAGCGGTGTTGCTTTCAACATAGAAACATGGAATAAACAATCAATAGTCTCCCTGATAATGTACCGTATTTTCACGACTATAAGGCGCACATAAACGTCTTTTTTTCCCCTCAAAATGTGCGGTGCGCCCTATGGTGCGGTGCGCCCTATGTGTGTTGCAACTGCGACTTTTGAGACCACCTCATTGAGGAGATGATAAAAGAGTGGCTGAATGTAAGGAGACCAGGTGTTTTTTTTTTCCACTCATCACCACACCATCGCTGTTAATCTGACTCCATGCGTGCCCATCTCACAGCTGATGTGAAAAACATGGTGAAACAAATTAATGCTGTGCTCGCTGTGAACCTGACGCAGCAGGTGCAGCAGAAGCAGCGAGTTTACATGCAAAGTCAACGGTTGACGAGCGTATAGACGCAGCAAAAGGTCCCGCAGCGCAGCAGGTGCAGCAGAAGCAGCGAGTTTACATGCAAAGTCAACGGTTGACGAGCGTATAGACGCAGCAAAAGGTCCCGCAGCGCGTTTTGAGCGAGTCGGGAGCGCACCGCCAACGCGCTGCTGCTGCTCGAGATGGAAAAAATTGAAGTTTTGCTGCTGGAAGCGCCGCATCAACGAATCAGAGAAGCTGATCTGGGAGCTGACAGCGAGACAGACACATCGCTCTGATGACATATTAAGGCAAATGGAAAGGGCTGGATGGATTGAGGAGATGATGAAAGCGTGGCTGAGGCAGGTGTAGGCTATGTGAGGAGACCAGGTGGTTTTTTTCCACGCATCACCATCGCTTTTAATATGTGACTCCATGCTTGCCCATCTCACAGCTGATGTGAAAAACATGGTGAAAAAAAATAAACGCTGTGCTCGCCGTTATCCCGGGGGTCTGACAAAGGAACTTCCACCGCTCGACATCGGTGTGAAGCGGCCGTTCAAAGTAAGGCTGCGAGCGGCGTGGGAGCGATGGATGACAGACGGAGACCACAGTTTCAGGATAAGTGGAAGGCAGCGCCGGGCAAGTTACACCACCGTTTGCGGATGGATTGTAGATGGACTAACGTAGCTGCTGGCTCTGTTGTTCAAGCTTTCGCAAAAGCCGGCATTATTTCTGAGGAGCCGCCCGGCACGGAAAGTGACTCTGACAGTGTTGTGCCTGAACGCGTTCATTGAACGAAAGTTCATGAACTCGTTCATATTTTGGGCGAACGTGAACTGAACGTACTGCATTACTGCCGGATGAACGTTATTGTGAACTCGTTCATTCTGGTGTCTGTGAACAGCACGCTCTCTCAGTTCAGCTCCGTTCAATAGGTTGCCAGATTTCTATAGAGTCCTCCAGGCGAAACCCCGGCTAAATCACACCGTAAACAGGCCTTAATATGTAGCGGGAAAAACACCCAATCTGGCAACACCAGCTACCAGTGTCGTAGCCTACAGCCGCGTGCGTCATCAAAACAAAATGCAGTGTGGAAGCCACAGCAGCATGTAGGCGACAAAGCAGCAGTATGATCACTTAAAACAGTTTTATGACCAGGTGGTCGGTGAGGATGATGGCAACAAGTTTGCCCGCCGGCTTTCAGTAAAAAAATCCGCACTTCAGTAACCTTAAATTCCTACCTCAGCCTGGTCCCTCAGTTTGTGTTAGTAAAATCTTCTTAAGCGGAGGTCTTCAACAGGGGATCCGCGACCCCTAGGGGGTCTACGGAGGTACTGCATGAGGGTCTGCATGGTTAGTTGATACTTTTATATTCCCCCCCCCTGCAATTTTTCCCCCCACTTATTGAAATGTCTTTAAATACTCATTAACATGAAATCAACACACTGTAGTAAACAGATAAATGGAGACAAAAGATGTCTTTCAGTCATCAATGCACACATTCAGCGACACACAGGAGCTCTTTCAAGCTGGGCACCGTTTCCTTCACAACAACCAGGAATCAGAATCAGAAAAACTTTAATAATCCCAGGGAGAAATTAATTTCTTTACATTACTCCATCTGTAATAGAGTGACTATAGGACACAATTTCATACAATATATATAGTTAGGGGGTCCCCGCTCCATCTCACCATCAGTTTGGGGGTCCTTGGTCTGGAAAACATAGAAGACCCCTGTTCTTGAGGGTTTTACTATCCATGTAACTTGTTTGTTAAACCTGCCTGGTATAATTTTCCAGGATTCCAGGATTCCTTTTTAGTATGTATTGAAATGGAATTTGAAATGGAAAAAATTATAAAAAAAAAAAAAAAACATTTGCACCTTAAAGACTACTTTCCTATTTTTCTTTTAATAATTCCTCATAAAAAAGACCATTCAAGCAGCACATTTTTCCTGATGTTTTTGAGAATATACTGTAGGGGTGAAAGCTGCAGCTGCTACTAGTGTGAAGTGAATGGACAGCAACAAAGCGTTAAAGCAACAATGGGGAAATGCTGTCCCCTCAATGCTAATGTAAACCCTGGTTGGATAAGGATTCAAAACTGGATATGAAGATGAAATCTGACGCACAGTTTCAGAGTTACAACTGATAAAATAATTGCTGTCTGTGGTTCTACAGTAGGCTATGGTGTAATTGAGCAATATATGAAAAAAAAAAAAAAGAACTATGAACTAGTTCATTTTTTGGTTTTGAATTATGAACTATGAACTGAACTAGTTCATTTTAAAATGTGTGAACTGAACTTTGAACTAGTTCACGTAGAAAGAGAAAACACTTTCCCAACACTGGACTCTGACAGTGCAGAAGGGGAAACTGGCATGTCTGATTTAGTGCAGCTGTTTAATTCAGAAACAGAGGATGATGACTTTGATGGGTTTGATTAATATTTTGTAATAAATACTTGAATAAAGCACAATCATACTCAGTTTTGCTCCCGCTCTATTTTTCTACCTGAAAACTTAATTCAACAGCAGCCTCTGGGCGGGTCTCCTCCTCTTCACCGCAGCGGCTGGCAGGTGTTTTTTCATCTAAATAATCTAAATCTTGCAGCTATATTTGCTGTGATCAGTGGGAATAAAGTAGTTTTAATATGTTTTTAAGTGAGAAAATACACCTGAAAACTTCATAATTGCAGTCAGTTCATCCAGATTATCTATTTCTGTCGGAGGCGCTCAGACCCCACATACCAGCGGTACACCGACAGCAGAAATCCACTCATCAGCAGCCTCTAGGCTGGGCAGCCTCCAGGTTCACCGGCGGCTGCTGGCAGGTGTTTTTCATCTAAATAATTTTAGCTGCAGGCACCAGGATACCGGTAATAAAAGCGAACATATTCCGTCGGCAGGTTTCAGGATTTTAAGTTAATTTAAGAGTGATCACAGCGCTGTGTCATCTGCGATGTGTCTGTCTCACGGCCAGCACCCAGGTTTGATTAATACTTTGTAATAAATACATGAATAAAGCACAGTCATACTCAGTTTTGCCCCCGCTGTATTTTTAAATACGCAGTAGAGGTATTTAAAGGTAGTAGAGGACATGTACCTGTATATAAAAAACGCGCCCTATAGTCCGGTGCGCCTTATGTGTGTGTTAAATACAGAAATGGGACACATAACTGAGACTGCGCCTTTTAGTACGGTGCGCCTTATGGTCGTGAAAATACGGTATCATTAATCAGGAATCAAAAGTACTTACAATCAAAATTTCACAGACCAAATGTTTTCACCCAAGAC